GCCCCGCCCCGGACCACCCAGGAGTGCGCTCGGCGCTGCCGCTGCGGATGCGACTGTATGGGAGTCAGCAGGGCGGCCGGGTTGGAGAGCGAAGGGGTCAGGCAGAGATATTCATCAGGGTCGCCAACTTGCGGTGAAAAGTGTACCACCACCACCACCACAGCCGCTGCTGCCTCGCTCCAGGTCCGACCCCTCCCCCTCCCTCTCCCCCCGGTGGCGTTGTACTGCATGCAAGCGCCCCGTTCCGCAGCCCATATGAATGCAGCACAAATCCTCCTATATTCATGTCGGCGCTGTAGCCGGCCGGTGCGCGGCCCGGCGCTGCTCGGCTCGGTCCGGCCGCGTGAGAGCGAGCGGGCGCCGCAGCGGGCTTACACCGCAAACACCACGGGGGCGGGTGTGCACCTCGGTGTGCACCGCGCACACCCACTGCAGCCAGGCGTGTGTTCGCGCGGCTCCCCAGCATCTCCGGCAGCATCCGTTCGGCCCTGCTGTAATGAGGCCCCCGCTGCCCAGGGCCGCCCAGGCCCAGGTGACAATGATGGATAGGGCCCATCTCCGCCCCGCTGCGCCGGGCTGCGCCGGGCCAGGCTGCGCGCCGGCCAGCAGCGGCCCGTGGCCCGCTCTGTTTGCTCAGCGGCTCGAGAGGGGCGCCGCTGCCGCCGACGCCGTCATTCGGGATCCGACACACTCCTGCTACAACTCTTCTTTATAATGCCGGACGTGGAGAATGATTTTGGACACGAAGTTGCCCGAATTGTAAAATAAAGTTACGCGTTCATTTCCAGCAAAATAAGTACTCTCGGCCGTTACTGCTGGCAATTTGCAAAGTAGGCGACATATCCGTCCGATGTTGTCAAAAACTGTATTTCCGTAGATGGTCAAAAAATTGTAGCGTACAAGTTTGTCACGTTTTTGCAAGTTATCGGTAACAAACTGAGAGTGCCTAGAGTGAAGTGCAAAGAAAACAACCAGTGCTAGGCTTTGCAAGCGCGCTGCATTCCGCGCACAACGTAGCGGCATGCTGTACCGGCGGGCACGCGTGCAGGTGGGTTGCCTATTCGCACTTGCAAGGGGTCATGGGCGGTCGAGAGCGGCAGCCCGCCGCCCGCCCACGCCCCCGCTTTGCGCTTCACATGAACCATTAAAAGTGCACAGCTAGAAGTACATTTCAGTTCGAATGTCCGTGGTAATTGCACCACTTTACCGTATATTTGCCCATTTTACCGAGGGCCGTGCGTCCGAGAGGATCTTTTGGACCGCGGCCAGCACCTCAGAGCTGGAGGCATGAGCGGCCGAGAGCGGGGGCCGAGCGTTACGGCGTTCGGTCAGTGAAAACCATTCGGCCGGGTGACGAGTAAATCTAGGCGCTTTCGAGCCATAGAGTGGAACAGCGCAAGAGAGCATCCTCGCCGCACCGGCCGAGCCCGCGCCTTGGAGGAGCAGGGGCACATCCACACGAGAGCAACACGCACACGGCGGCGCGCTCACACGCTCGCACGCACACACATACACACACGGGCGGGAGCGCGCGCACTGAGAGCGGAGAAGAGCGGCCCCGGCCCTCAATCACATGCAAAGAAAATGAAAATTCAAGGGATAACAGCTCCGGTTCGGGAGCTTGTCAGAGCAGGCTGCCTGGGCACCGGCCCCCGCCCCTGTCGGCCGGCTCGGCTCAGCAACGCCACTGTGGCTCGGCTTCAGAGCTCGACTCAGACCTGCCCGGCCCGGGCACAAGAGGCGCATCGGCCGGGCGAGCGAGCGAGCGAGCGAGAGAGAGAGAGAGAGAGAGAGAGAGAGAGAGAGAGAGGCACCCGCGGGAGTAGCGGGGAGAGGGAGCAGATCGAAAGAGAAGAGAGGAGAGTGAAGTGAGAAAGAGTGAGAACGCCCCGCCGCCGCCGGGGCCGGCCGCAGTGACCTCAGTCTGGATGCGCGCGCCGGTAAACAGAGCAACAACAGGCAACAGGGCCGGGCCGGAGGAGGAGGAGCATGTTCGGGGAGCCCGGAGCAGCCTCAAGGAGCCCGGAGGAGTCCAAAAGGATCCCCAAGCTGGTGACGAGGCGTCATAGCGGGCAGGGTGCATGCAGTGAGAGCACTTCAGTGGGGCGCCTGCAACAGACGTGGCACAGCCGTTGCACGTGTGGCGCCGAGGGGGGCGAGGTGGGGCTGCTTCAGCTTGTAACTGTATTTCCAGCCTCCGACTGGCCACCAGACGCAACCGGCCGTGGCTCCCCGAGTACCGGCCTCGGCTCCAGGGCCCCCGCTGCCGGTCAGCATCGGGCCAGCACAGCGCCATGGCAACGGGCAGCATCCCCCCGCACAGACGGACGCACCCTCGCGCCCCCCTCCGCGGCCGCCGGCTGCCTCCACGTCGAGCTGAGCAGGCCCCCGCTACACCACCGCCTGGCCCGTCTCATCTCCACGCCCGTCACTCTGGTGTTCAAAGACCGCGCCGGACCAATCAGAACGCCGAGCCCCCGCCCGTCACTCGAGCGGGGGCGGGGGCGGCGGCGCGGGGCAGCCGCCAGGGCCCGGGCAGCGCCGCCGCGAGGAAGCTGTCCCGTCCGGTCAGGGGCATTATTCAAATGAGGCCCGGGTCCGCGGGTCCGGGCCGCCAGTAACACACGGTAATTGGTGTGTCAACGCGGGGC